ACCGCAGTCAATTTTAGTGCTAATGGATTCTGTAGAAACTAGTAAATAAACACGATATTGGAGGATATTCTTTTTGGCAATTAGAATTTTCGATGAGGCTGAAGCCCTATAGATAACCTGTTGGTCTCTAACTATTGTGTATTAAAGGATGCTGTAGACAGGATACTTTTTTGGCTATACTCATAGTCCCGAAGGGCTTAAAATTTATAATATAAATAAAAAGGAATTAATTAATTGGCTGGTCAAGGTTGTCCAATGATTTCTGGCCTGGAATTATAGTCACCACATATAGCTCTAGAAGAAACACAGATGTATAGGCTCAAAATTAATCAGAAAGTAGGACCACAAATTAAATAAATATTTGAAAGATGAGGCATGTGAAGTCGGAAAAAGTATCCAAGCAGTCAAAAAGTAGGACTTTCGCGCAGTCAAGCGATCGGGTATATTGCATAATAATTGTCAGATAGTCATGTCAGACTGCAAAGTAATGATGCTTCCGGGCTGCCGGGAGAGCAGTCTTTCAAGAGATCAGTCGAACAGGGGGCTAAGAAATCCGATAATTGGGTAGTCTGATGATCAGGCAGGTAAGAAACCAGAAAACCATGTTATCCTGATAGTCAGATAGTCAAGCTATATGGCAGTGGAAAAGTGGAGAAAAAGAGAACACAGTGGCAGTTTAATATTCATGATAATAGGGCGCTAAAAAATCAGACATTCAGGCAATTAGGCAGTCAAATATTCAGGACTTTAGGCGGCTACGTAAGCATACCGTCAAATAGTAGAACAATCAAGATAGGCTTTCGGACTGCCAAGCAATCCGAAGAAGAGGAATCAGGCCATTCGACGGTCAGCCTATCATGTAATCAGGCCGTAAGACAGTCTTATAGTCAGACCATGAGGACTCCATGATTTGCTTTAACTTGTATGAAACGTTTGGTAGAAGGATAGTAACACCGAAGTTCGGAGGGGACTTACGCTTGTGCTTTTGCAGTTACGGCAAGCCTAGTAAAATTGTCTACTGGACTTTTCATGCAAAGAGGGATAAAAAATACTTGAACTTCTTGAAGAAGTCTTAGATAATCAGTTTTTCAAAGCTTTCCCATATTTGTATATGGCCAGCATCAAGACGGTGGACTTATCTGGTCAGGCTGAAAGAAAGCCCGGCGTTTGGACAGTCAGGCAGCCAGGCGGTCAGATGGTAGGGTTGTCATTCACTTGGGCACTCAGAAAATCAAGCAGACGGCAGTCGAACATTTATGCAATCCTGTCTTAAGAACAATCTGCAGCTAGGTTGCTAGGCTCATTTACCTAACTATGGCCTTAATTTGCCTCATTTCGATCAAACTATGGTGCATTTCATTATATGCAGGCCAAACCGATCTTTTATTATAGAGCCTTATTTCTATCCCAAAGTATCTGCTTTCGCTGACGGATGGGTACTCTATCAGTAGATGGTCAGACAGTCAGCCATTCCGTATAACAGTAATGCAGCAAATTAGTTAGCCAGTCTGGCTGTTAGCCAATATATGCTCAGCAAGTCAGTAAGTTAGTCAGTTCCTTAGTCAATCTGCTTGTCTAACCGTATGATTGCCTTTCTGTCAGGCAGCTTAGTTGCCTGGCCACATGTGCGTCTGCGTAAAGCTGATCTTTGTCGCGACACTCAGACACTGACAGACGAAAATATTTTCCCATTCACCAATTGCTCGTCTCGTGCTGGCAGACATAACCTGCTGTTGTTCCAAGTATTTGTCATTTTCAGGTATTCCAGATCACTTGGCTTATTCGGATATCATATGATCAAAATTGTTTGGATATTAAATGAGTTAAATCTACCCGTTGAAACCAACTCGGACCAATCTGGATTCTGATAACTATTTGTGCTAACTATGATTCACTTATCCTTGTGTTTTCCCAGCAAAATCTTTAGCAGGGATATCAGATGACCTCTACGACAAATGCGATTAAGCAATTTGCTGCAGCCCTGCATCGAAGTGTTCACATGCTGATAAAGATACTGTAGCACACATAAATAAGCACATTGACTCACATATTTGTTCATACCGAACGAATGCATTACTATCACAAAGCTAAATAAGTAGCCTTTCTATGGCACTAAATGGATCGGCGCCTAGGCGCAAAGGCACTCATGCGACCTCCTCAGCTTCAGCCACATCTACCACGAAAGGCAGGCCGCAGATTGCCCCGATATTCAACAGACGGACTGACCAAGCTGGAGGTCATGGGACCTGTATCGAAGATGCTAGTAGCAGGATCAGTCCTCATCCAGCATCCAGTTCGAGAGGATTAAGAGAATCGGCATATTTCGGCTTGATGGGCTCCAGCGGTTCCACGGATGCTAAACCAGGAGCTGGTCACAATTCGCCCGGTTTTGAGACAGAAGGGGCCACAACAGTTATATCAGCATCCGGAACAGGAGGGCGAGACTGTATGCTGTGGCAGGAGCAAGAAAAGTCTCAGAGGAATGGCCCATCTGATACTAGCCTACTAAAAGCATGTTTTCAGTCGAAAGCAAGCTTAGACGAAGATCCAAAAGTGGCTGCCGTAACACAGACAGCTACAGCAGCTAACGTCCCGGATAATACAGCGACCAAGCGAGGTGAGTCGTCCTCATAACAGGATG